AGCAAAGACCTAAAAGAATCTAATGTTTCCCAATTATGAGTTTGTATGAATTTTAAATCTGATGATGGCGCTGTTGTCTCGCCGAAACGTTATGAAATAAACGATATAAACATTTTTATTTGACAATTTCTAGGGCAAAGCCTGCTCTATAAGCCGAAAAAGTTTCTATTTCGAATAATTTTCTAGAATTTTTTTGCGCTTGTTTCTGCCGATCGGAGTTTAACAGTTATTTCATCCCAAACCAGTTAAATTAGCGAGTGACCTTTGTATGCATTTTGATGGAGATAGTCTGTTTATAAGTGGCAAAAGTTTTCGATTTTGAGACATCATCAGGCTATTTTCACGAATTTTTCAAAATCGCTTCTGGTTTTAGTGGAATTTTTTGCAGGTCAAAGTTTAGCATTAATTTTTTTGTAACTTGCATAGGGAGAAAGGCACTTTTGGAAGCACAGAAGTGAACAAAGTTGCGATTTTCAGTCATCATCAGCCAATTTTTTACAATTTTTCTAAATTGCGTTTCGTTTACGTGGTTGTTTTTACTGGTCGGGATTTGGCAGTTCTTTATTCAAGAACTAACCACTTGAGGAAGAGTCGTTTTTGTATCTAGGCCGAAGGACTTTGCATCATCTTCAGGGAATTTTTGGGCACTTTTTCGAATTTTGCGCTTACTTTTCAATTGGCGATAAAACTTTGGCATAATTTTTATCAGAAACCAGCGAGATCGTAAATGCACTCACGTGCATATTTTGCGGAGAAAAGTGCGTTCTATGCGAAAACGTGATGGGTTTTAGTTACTTTCAGCATTTTACTAACTTTGATACCCTGAAATTGCATGAAAAACAGAAGAGCAATTTTAGGTCATAAGAAATCCGCGTTGTTATTGATGAAAATTTTTCGGTCGTTTAGACCGTCGAAGAAAAGAATTTCTTGCTGACGTTTGGCCAGCACAAGTGGGCTTGGCATCTTCAAAGTGATTGCGCTCAGAGAAAACCAAATCTGAAGATGCAAGTCACTCGTGCTTACGAAACGTCAGCAAGAAATTCTTTTCCACAACGACCTAGAAGCCCGAAACATCAGTTTCAAGCAATGGCCGCGAAAGTTTTTTGATTTAATACATCTGTGTGGACAATTCGCAGAAAATTCCTCAGGCCATCAACTTTGAGGTATGTTCGAATGCAATTACTCGGACACCTAAAACGAATTTTTATGGCGAAATTGAACTGTGACCGTTACGCAATCCGTTTGGTTGTTGGCCATTCTGCGGTTAAGAATTTGTTCCTTTTCTGTAACATTGTCCTATCGCTAAGCCATTTGGATTCGGGTTTAAACATTTTCTTAACGTTTCAATTGAAAAAAAACGCAAATATCTGCACTCGGTTTTTATTAAAGTTCAGTTAAGTACACACAATTGGAAAATAAGCGACACTTTGGCTGCATCGTCCACTTGAACCCGGATTGATTTCTTCAAAGCAAATCAGCAGATTTGTGCAACGAATGCACCGACTTCCTGCAGTTGACCGGAGGCGACAAAATTCCGTCCATGCCCAGCAAATCGACCATTTGTATGTTTGCGTCGTCCCGATTCCATTCACTTCCTTGGTCGCTTTGATGGCATCTGCATTAAACCAACTTGTTATCGCTTTATTAGCAATCACACAGTTTGGCTTGGCGACCAGCCAACATTTAAGAATTTTCTGAAAATTTACCCAGTCAAACTGAACACCCCATAGGAAGAATTCCGAGTATGTAAAACGATTCTATGATGTCTAGGCAGGCACCTGTGCGATTTAAAATGCAGGCATAACATCCGCCGTTTGCACAACATAACGGTAAATAATCCCAATAATTAGCCAGGTCTCGGTTATTCTAGCAGAACATTGCATTGTGGAACATGATGGACATTCACTCACGCTTGGAGAAACGTTCAAAACGAACGGTTCATGCTTAATCTCACGAATCAAATTCATAGAATCAAAAAAAATTACTACTATTTCAAAACTGACTGTATTAAAGCAGTTATTTATCAAAAGTGCGACAATGTCCGAGATATTAATGGAAGAAAGAATTCAAAAAATGTTCCTCCTGTCTTTCGGAACACCCTATCGAAATTGTTCTTATGACTGAGCACCATGTTTTAACATTTTAACGGCTTTCATTTTATCTGCTATTTTTCAGGGCTTAAGAACCAACTTTTTGCTTCTATAGCTTTAAAGGTTGGGAATTCATGATCAAACCTTAATGGTAAAAAATAGTTCTCGAGGCGGGCTATCGAAAATATCATAACGGCTGATTGGCTATTATGCACCGTTTCCAAGATACAGGGTGTTCAACTCCGAAACCCGAAAATTGTTGACATTTTTGCTTCTATCTGCTTAGAGGTTAGAAATTTCGAATGAAACATTAAATGTAAAAAATAGTTCTCGAAACGGGCTATCGAACAGATCATAACGACTGAATCGATATGTTCAACCATTTTGGCGAAATAACGCTTTTAAACCTTCACACACCTGAAAAAGGGATAAGCGTCACTGTGACCTGCAACTTGCTGATACCAAAATTGCAACTAAATCCTCTTACGACAGAAGCAACATTTTCAACAGTTTCTCAGCGATGCGCTGTTTTATTATGGAAAACCTTTATAGATTGGCGATAAATAACGGACGTGACTTCTAGCGAGGCAAGTCCTTCTCAAAAATGTGTCCAATCCGAACCCTTGTTGCTATGCTCCCCACTTCGAAAACCGGTATCGATTTCGTTATTTAAAGAAACTTCCGTTTCATAATGCAAGTAGTCGTCCAGGGCCACTTTAAAAACGTGACTGCAGTCTTAAGGGTCCCATCTACCCCGTTTTCAGCACCCCCAACCCCTTCCGGCCTAGTTGCAGGGTGCGACGACCCCGGTGCAGTAAAACCCTGTGTCCTACTTGAGGATCGATCGATGGGGAACTAGCGGGGGGACTAAACCCTCGGCCAAGAGTGGAACTGAATTAGATCTTTATTTTAAAACAATGTTCTAAAATTGGAGTGGATGTTTCTGGACACTTTTTGGAGTTGGGAGGGAAACGGTCCCGTTCAAGCATCAGGTAAAAAATGGGGCCAATGAAAGGGAAATTGCTTGCTGAATACCTGCGGTATGCTAACGATAATCGAATTTAGGAGGAATGAACAAGGGCAATTTGACCCTGACCTCTACTTCCGCTGCCTTGTTGTCTGGTGGACTGAGGATAGTCGAAGATATTCACGCGAATTAGAAGGCAGAGGAAGAATAAACGTTCGAAAGCCCCCCCTGGGACGATCGCAGTTGTCCTGGGCAGGGAGAATAAATCATGTTGCTCAATAGGGTTTTGTTGGCTGGAAACATCTGCAAATGTACAGTTTGGCACTTTATGGAGGCTTCCATCGAACCACAGATATTTAGGAGTTCAATTGTTGAAACTACTACTAAAGAAAGTTTCTGAAATCCCCCCGTAAATTACGACTCATGGCCAAGATTGACGGCCAAACTTCAATTTCTGACAGCATGTTCAATGATAGTCGTAAAGACCGTTAACAGAAAATCGGTTTCTATGGCAACCTGCCAGCATGTAATCAAAAGAAACAAAAAATCCTAATTGAAACATATGGGGGCGGTTTGACAAGTGCCCTATTTCACAACCTTTTTTTGGTAAATGGCGTAAAAAAATTGTTTTTATTCTTAATCTCGTAAACGAAACAAGATGCAATGAACTGGTGACTGCTGCTTTTAATTTAATGATGGCACACCGCGTATAATAAAAGTTAGGTGTGCTTTTGTGGGCAATCCTAGACCGATCTCAAGCATCTACGGCTTTAAGACATTAATTAACGGTATAACGGCACCGCGCTGGAATGTATTAAAAGTTAGTACCTAATAATAATAAATTATAACCAAGTTATATCGTAACACTCGGGTGATTTTAATTGCGACGTTGTCATAGAACGTATGCCTTGTTTGACAAGAGCCAGCTTTCCACTGAATTTGCATTTAAGTGTAATGAGGTATCATATTGATGTTATTTCCTGCTCATTACCAGGAAATGCAACCGGGGACGTCAATAAATCATATCTGAAGTAAATGAATTCATCATCAAGCTCGGCTTACGCATAAATCCATTAACAGTGGTTAGATGGATGGCAATTTACCAAGAAAAGTTTTTTGTTGACCCACTGGTGGAAAAGTCGAATCAATTCAATGGAAGCACAATTCAAAGGTTTGCACAGGCAAACAACAACAACCACCGTACATCGACGCATTCATAAAATACCAATCTGGGCCTACTTATGGGATTAAAGTCGTTTAAAATCCCACCAATAGTAGTAGTAGATGTATATCAAATCAATCGACTTTCAGATTGTTCCACAGGCGTTGCGTAAATTGTTTCAAGCAGCGTGTTATGCAAAAGAAATGCGTATAAATCAAATCTAGGCAGGTAGCTGAGAGAGCCCGACCGACAGGCCTACGTAGGTATCTAGGATTAGAAACAACCTGACTGAAAAGAATCGTGTTTTCGCTTTGACAGCTAACGTCGGTGCCCCAATTGGCACCAATAAGGTGGCAACACACGCAAAAAGGTGTTCCAACTTGAAAGGAATCAAATCTGAAAAGGTAAACAGCCCGAATGGGGCAAATAACCCCGGAAATACGACGCAAAGTATCAAAACACACCGCCATGTTGAATGGTTATACACATACACACATATAAAAGGCCAGTTGATTCGACATGTCTTTACCTGTGACAGGGCCGATCGGAAATCCTACTGCAAACACAAGGCAGAGTTGAAGAATTCGCACCGCCATAAATCCGTAATCATTTGGATATGGAAGATACACTTTTCACGCTCAATTCAAGTCACAAAACAACAAAAACACACTCAATTATCCCAATTCGCGTCCTCTGGGAAGTCCGAACATACACTGCCGCTACGCGCAACGCAAGCCTGCAAATTACACAATCGGATAGGAATTGCTTAGCATATAGGAAATAAAATGGAAGGGCCGTTATGCTAAAGGCAACATCGCCACGAATGCCTGGTTGCCTAAGGCAATCACATCTATACTGCTCAGCACATTTCCTGCTGGAAATCTGATTTGGGGTGCGCCTATTTGTAACTTCGAACGCGAGGTCTGACGAAATAGAAAATTACGGTTGAAATTGCCTTCTTTTCAGTAACAATATTTGCATTAAAGCATTTTTTGCTTTAAATATTCACTCTTCAGACACGATTACTGACATTTAATTTATAACTGTATATACTTTCCTGACTGTCTTTCAATTCCAAATCAGATTAATTCCTGGGTATCAGTCATTTATTGTCAATAATCAGTCAATAAATGACTGAAACCCAGGAATGAATTTGATTTGGAATTTAATTTATATTCATTCATGTATTTGTAAACTGGAAACTACTTGAACTGAAAAACTAAAATGCATTTTTGTTGAGAAGGCTTAGGGAATTAAAGCTCCCAAGTATGCCGTTGGTGAAATACAGCGTTTGGTAAGCAGTATATTCGCCGCTCATCGTTGCCGCACTTACTTGATTGAAGTTCTATTTAAATAAAATTAGCCAGTTTGTGTGTCACTTTAACCTGATTTTTATAAAGTTTTGACTTTCTAATGTGTCATTCCGTCAGTCAATTGTTGAATATTAGACAGGAAGGATTGTCCGCAAATCGCTCCGCGAAAAATAACAAAATAACCGAAAATTTTTCCATTTTCGTGCGGCAAATTGTTGTTTTCTGAAACAGAAAGTTTTCCTACGCCTAATCGTGATAGTTTCCTGACCGAAGGGGCGAATTCCGCATAAAAAACTCGGTTTTTCAATCCCGGAAGTTAATAACCTTTTCTGTCAGCYAAACAGCTGTCAGTAGCCAACTAGTCATCGTGAGTCAATATTTCCGGTATTAAAGTGTTGTGCGGGCGTTTTGGCCGATTATTTGGCGTTTTGAGAATTTTTTTATACATTCCAGACAATTCGGCAATAAAAACCTTAGAATATTTTAATTTTTGCGCTTAAAAATGTAAACAGATCGAGAAAAACTGTTGTCCCATATACATTACGCATACATTAAAGTGCCCCTTGGACTTTTGAGGACATTTTTGGAGTATTCTCCTTAGATGGGAAGATTTTTCACAAGGAACGTTTTGATGCAAAGATCAACAGCTTACTTAGTCGCAAACTAAGTGCGATTTTTACCATGTTAACTGGAAAATTATACTTCAAGTACCTACCTAAGCATATTTCTCAGAATGGTACCGGACTATTGCCACTGCTAAGATAAATCCTTCAGGCTAGCAATGGGTATGTATATTTATTTTATATATAAACTCCTTCACCAGTTGTCTAGCTAATTTCGGGTCCAGTCTAGTCTATTTTTTTAGGTAAAAGATATGCATTCTTCCCCTGCGATGGATAGTTCTCGAATTTCATATCGGGTTTTTAATTTTTCACGCCACCCAGCACTCGCTTTAAAATTTGTGTTATCGTAAGCTTGATTAGAAAAAAATCGGGGTTTTTTCAATAGCAAGTTGGGTTTAAAGGGGTTTTACTGTACTCTTATTTTCTGTTTCCTTATATTGAAAATCGGTAGCAAAACACGTTCTGGATGCGAAAAACTGCAACTTAATATAAAAAGTGAAACAACATATTTTCTATTAAATTATTTTTATTTTATAAATAATGGGACAATTTGTCCGAATTTTCCTCGTTGCTACAAAGGCATCAGTAGGTACTAAGTAAAATATTTACAATACATAATAAAAAGTTCATCCACTATTTGTGTTCTATTGACATTGATTGTCACATCAATATTAGTCAAGAAATGTTGGTTTTGAAATAATAACAAGAGTTAACAAAGACCTACGAAATGGAAAGGAATACAATTTATAAAGTCCCAAATGCAAATGGGAGTACGCGTAAATACAACCGATCACCAAATAAATGTACCTGAGAATAGCACAGTCACTTCGTAGCTTAGGCCAGTACATTTAGAAGTCGACAGTTATCAATTTGTGTATACACAAGAAATCCACAAATAATGACTTTGGTTTTCCCTGATACGGCCCCACTTCTAATTAAAGTTCTTATAACGAATCCTAATTATGACTCTTTGATTAATAAAT